CACAGTTATGAATATTTCATAATGTGCCCGTTTTCCTATTATATACAAAACTGTCCCTATATATGGGTTGGGGAATGGGGTACTTTCAATTTTATATATAATGGTCCGATGTGTAATCGACTTCCCAGTAGAATCACGCAGATGTTGCCATACTATGACTATTGTTAAAGGTCACATGCAACGTAAAACACAACTTTGCAGATTCTGATACCTTTCGGTATGGACTTAAAAAAATCATCAAAAATGCAAATTGAACTTATAAAGTTGAAAAATAACGCGATGAACAAAGACGTGCGAAATCGTAGTTCAAACGATTCACTAATTTTCCCCCAGCGTTTGGGGGGGAATTCAAGCGGTTCCAACAGCTGGGCTGCGCTCATAGCGCGTACGCAGTGAAACAGGTTCGCGCAACTTGGAAGCGGGTTGTCCAGTGAATACTCCGTGAAGGCTTTGGTGTGAGCTATTTTTCTAATGTTATGTTGATATCTCAAATGCGCGAGCTTTTTATATGTTATGACAGTAAATTAACTGTTTATAAAATTTCATTTGTCTATTTCACCACACGTTCTTCTTACCGAGTCACTTTCTCAGTTCGATACTTAAAAGCAATGTCATTATTTAGCATTGACAGAATTTCTAACTGTGATATAGATATGTCGTTGTCAAAGACAAAACTCAACGTCTTGTTTTATTGACACCTGTGTGTCTGCCTGCCTGTCTGCTAATGACAACATTCAATACACAACTGCTATCACTGACTACATGCATTTTGAACTTAACACCTATCAGGCTATACACCATAAACAAAATGCATTGCTTTATGGCCCGAGTTCGGTCTCTGTCACATTATGTAATTACACAGACAGGCAAGTATGATACTTGAACACATGACATGTTATGATGTCTGTTGATTGCAAAATGTTATACACAAAAAATGAACATGTATTTACAAAACCCAACATCTCTATATATACACACACAATGAGCTGTGAGGGCATCTGCAAATGAACCAGCCGTTACACTTGAGTGCACACCCACCTGCTTCGTTTCTTGGGAAGTAAACCCAAGTACACAATATTGCACTTTTGATTTGCGATTGTACGCTTATAATTTTGTTTATATGTTTTTTCATAACCAGCAATGTATATTATATGTCATGAATAAGTGATAATTGTGTTTTAATTATGTTTGATTTTTTGGTTGCATGTGAACTTTAAACTTTTTATGATCAATGCCTATTGCATCACCATGATCAGCCCAATGCAAAATGGAAGAACAGATATGGATGTCATATTGAAATGATATATGCCAAATGAATACAAATAATAAATAGGCCATATTCTTCTAATATTATACCATTTTTGAAAGCACATACATTGTTAAGAAAACATTGTTGAATGAATCATTTATGTGTTTCAGATGTATTAGAAATAATTATTATTAATTATATAATGTGGTAACAACCATTTTCTAGTTACTATTACTGGGCGTTCAGTTTATTTCCAACACACAAAACAGGAGAAATGGGGGCCACTTCATCGAATTACACGTCATCATATTTGCTAAAATATAGATGCTAACTATATTCAATCAATGTGGTCGTTCAGATCCATGTTTTATGTGTACAATTTTGTGGCAATAGCGAGCTGACACGAAATATCAAAGCACATGTCGGTGATGAAAATAGGGTGTGTGTCATTGTTTACATATCGGCCATGTAACGACGATTTTCGTGTTTCGAAACTGCTTAAATAACGTACACTGAAAGTAATAATGGCCGTTGTGCTGGTGACTTATATTTTGCCATAGTATCGATGAAAATGCTATGAAAAAAATCCAACAACCCGTTCTCGGATTTATCTATAGTAAATGTATGGCGCGTCTCCCTGCAGTGAAGGCCGCCATTCGGCAGTGGTTGCCTGGGTCAGCGTCGGAGCATTAGTTCTGCACAAAATGTCAACCTTTTAAAGAAGCAATTCAACCGCTTGAAACTGTCCTGTGGTCACATTCAGTATAAGTTCAGTATATGTAAAATAAGACAGCACTAAACATTTAAGACTATGGTCAGTTTTAATTACTGGATGGATGTGTACACGTTGAAAAAGCACAAAAATCTGACACAAGATCACCCAATCACAGCTGTCAGATAATTCAGTCTGCACTGAAGACTCCCAACAAAAAGTGCTGGTTAAAATACAGATTCTGGTTTGATGGAGTGTAACCTGTATGCTAGCTGACAAATACCTGTTTCAGCCCCAGTCTGGTATATGTACTCTGAGGGGGGAGTGAGTGAGTCCGGTATACACTCCTACGTGTGTGTTCATCGGGCAAACTGTTTCCTATCTGGAGATGTGAGATGGAAAATGTTTATATCTGTACCACCATTTTTATAAGCATGCAGGCAGAATTGAGACTTCCTCATGTTTCACTAACGACATAAAGATTTATCACGTGTCTGGTTCCCTTCTCACGTTGACCTGACCCTTGTACTGGGGATGCATCTAAGGTTGAGGTATCCGGGGAGAGTCAAGGGTTTCTTGTCATCTAAAACTGAGGGATATCAACCAATAAGGGAAATTAAGTGACTGTCAATCTCTATAACTCACTTTGAGTGAAAGTAGACTGAGTGAGTACGGTTTTACGCTGCTTTTAGCAATATTACAGCAATATCAGTAAAGAGCAATAAAGAGATTCTGACCTAGCTAGGCTACTTCTTCTCCACCCTTGCTCTTATATCAAAAGGGGAAGTTTCTGACCTAGCTAGGCTACTTCTTCCCCCACTCTTGCCCTTATATCAAAATGGGGAGTTTCTGGCCCAGCTAGGCTACTTCTTCCCCCACCCTTGCTCTTGTATCAAAAGGGTGAGTTTCTGGCCTAGCTAGGCTACTTCTTCCACCACCCTTGCTCTCATATCAAAAGGGGGAGTTTCTGGCCCAGCTAGGCTACTTCTTCCCCCACCCTTGCTCTTATATCAAAAGGGGAAGTTTCTGGCCTAGCTAGGCTACTTCTTCCCCACCCTTGCTCTTATATCAAAAGGGGGAGTTTCTGGCCTAGCTAGGCTACTTCTTCCCCACCCTTGCTCTTATATCAAAAGGGGAGTTTCTGTCCTAGCTAGGCTACTTCTTCCCCACCCTTGCTCTTATATCAAAAGGGGAGTTTCTGTCCTAGCTAGGCTACTTCTTCCCCACCCTTGCTCTTATATCAAAAGGGGGAGTTTCTGGCCTAGCTAGGCTACTTCTTCCCCACCCTTGCTCTTATATCAAAAGGGGGAGTTTTGGCCTAGCTAGGCTACTTCTTCCCCACCCTTGCTCTTATATCAAAAGGGGGAGTTGCTGACCTAGCTAGGCTACTTCTTCCCCACCCTTGCTCTTATATCAAAAGGGGGAGTTTCTGGCCTAGCTAGGCTACTTCTTCCCCACCCTTGCTCTTATATCAAAAGGGGAAGTTTCTGGCCTAGCTAGGCTACTTCTTCCCCCACCCTTGCTCTTATATCAAAAGGGGGAGTTTCTGTCCTAGCTAGGCTACTTCTTCCCCCACCCTTGCTCTTATATCAAAAGGGGAGTTTCTGGCCTATCTAGGCTAGTTCTTCCCCCACCCTTGCTCTTATATCAAAAGGGGGAGTTGCTGACCTAGCTAGGATACTTCTTCCCCCACCCTTGCTCTTCTATCAAAAGGGGAAGTTTCTGGCCTAGCTAGGCTACTTCTTCCCCCACCCTTGCTCTTATATCAAAAGGGGGAGTTTCTGACCTAGCTAGGCTACTTCTTCCCCACCCTTGCTCTTATATCAAAAGGGGGAGTTTCTGTCCTAGCTAGGCTACTTCTTCCCCACCCTTGCTCTTATATCAAAAGGGGGAGTTTCTGGCCTAGCTAGGCTACTTCTTCCCCACCCTTGCTCTTATATCAAAAGGGGGAGTTGCTGACCTAGCTAGGCTACTTCTTCCCCACCTTTGCTCTTATATCAAAAGGGGGAGTTTCCGGCCTAGCTAGGCTACTTCTTCCCCCACCGTTGCTCTTATATCAAAAGGGGGGGGTTTCTGGACTAGCTAGGCTACTTCTTCCCCCACCCTTGCTCTTATATCAAAGGGGGAGTTTCTGGCCTAGCTAGGCTACTTCTTCCCCACCCTTGCTCTTATATCAAAAGGGGGAGTTTCTGGCCTAGCTAGGCTACTTCTTCCCCACCCTTGCTCTTATATCAAAGGGTGAGTTTCTGGCCTAGCTAGGCTACTTCTTCCCCACCCTTGCTCTTATATCAAAAGGGAAAGTTTCTGGACTAGCTAGGCTACTTCTTCCCCCACCGTTGCTCTTATATCAAAAGGGGGGGGTTTCTGGACTAGCTAGGCTACTTCTTCCCCCACCCTTGCTCTTATATCAAAAGGGGAGTTTCTGGCCTAGCTAGGCTACTTCTTCCCCACCCTTGCTCTTATATCAAAAGGGGGAGATTCTGGCCTAGCTAGGCTACTTCTTCCCCACCCTTGCTCTTATATCAAAAGGGGGAGTTTCTGGCCTAGCTAGGCTACTTCTTCCCCCACCCTTGCTCTTATATCAAAAGGGGGAGATTCTGACCTAGCTAGGCTACTTCTTCCCCCACCCTTGCTCTTATATCAAAAGGGGGAGTTTCTGGCCTAGCTAGGCTACTTCTTCCCCACCGTTGCTCTTATATCAAAAGGGGAAGTTTCTGGACTAGCTAGGCTACTTCTTCCCCCACCGTTGCTCTTATATCAAAAGGGGGGAGTTTCTGGACTAGCTAGGCTACTTCTTCCCCCACCCTTGCTCTTATATCAAAAGGGGGAGTTTCTGGCCTAGCTAGGCTACTTCTTCCCTACCCTTGCTCTTATATCAAAAGGGGGAGACATGTTATGTCTCCAACTGATTAACGGCTACCCCACCGCCCCGAAACTAACTAACTAAGTTCATAAGGTAAGAGCCTTGGCTGATTCTCAGCTATTGTTCTGAGTGACGGGATGTGAGACTCTAAGCACCCTGTATCTTGTACATTTCAGTCTATGTGCAGCAAGTGCATCGTCCCGGCGACAACATCACACTAGTCCACTGCTCGGAGTACGCATCTCTCATCCATGCACGTAAGTAGCTGTCACTGGGCAGTGTCTAACAATGTCCACTCTGTTGCAGTCTATATGGACCACGCCCACCGAGGCTCTGACCACATCATACTGGTGCATGTACCAGAGTACACTCACCTGACTCAGGCCCGTGAGTACTAACCCAGCATCACCACTGGGGTGTAGCTGCTGCTGTCACATTGTTGTAATGTTGCTGTGACTACTGCTGTAACATTGTTGTAATGTTGCTGTGACTGCTGCTGTAACATTGTTGTAATGTTGCTGTAACTGCTACTGTAATGTTGTAATGTTGCTGTGACTGCTGCTGTAACATTGTTGTAGTGTTGCTGTGACTGCTGCTGTAACATTGTTGTAATGTTGCTGTAACTGTTGTAATGTTGCTGTAACTGCTACTGTAACATTGTTGTAATGTTGCTGTAACTGCTGCTGTAACATTGTTGTAATGCTGCTGTAACTGCTGCTGTAACATTGTTGTAATGTTGCTGTAACTGCTGCTGTAACATTGTTGTAATGTTGCTGTAACTGCTGATATAACATTGTTGTAATGTTGCTGTAACTGCTGATATAACATTGTTGTAATGATGCTGTAACTGCTACTGTAACATTGTTGTAATGATGCTGTAACTGCTACTGTAACATTGTTGTAATGTTGCTGTAGCTGCTGCTGTAACATTGTTGTAATGTTGCTGTAACTGCTGCTGTAACATTGTTGTAATGTTGCTGTAACTGCTGCTGTAACATTGTTGTAATGTTGCTGTAACTGCTGCTGTAACATTGTTGTAATGTTGCTGTAACTGCTGTTGTAACATTGTTGTAATGTTGCTGTAACTGCTGCTGTAACATTGTTGTAATGTTGCTGTAACTGCTGCTGTAACATTGTTGTGATGTTGCTGTAACTGCTGCTGTAACATTGTTGTAATGTTGCTGTAACTGCTGCTGTAACTGCTGCTGTAACATTGTTGTAATGTTGCTGTAACTGCTGCTGTAACATTGTTGTAATGTTGCTGTAACTGCTGCTGTAACATTGTTGTAATGTTGCTGTAACTGCTGTTGTAACATTGTTGTAATGTTGCTGTAACTGCTGCTGTAACATTGTTGTAATGTTGCTGTAACTGCTGCTGTAACATTGTTGTAATGTTGCTGTAACTGCTGCTGTAACAGTGTTGTAATGTTGCTGTAACTGCTGCTGTAACATTGTTGTAATGTTGCTGTAACTGTTGTAATGTTGCTGTAACTGCTGCTGTAACATTGTTGTAATGTTGCTGTAACTGCTACTGTCACATTGTTGTAATGTTTCTGTAACTGCTGTTGTAACATTGTTGTAATGTTGCTGTAACTGCTACTGTAACATTGTTGTAATGTTGCTGTAACTGCAGCTGTAACTGCTGCTGTAACAGTGTTGTAATGTTGCTGTAACTGCTGCTGTAACATTGTTGTAATGTTGCTGTAACTGTTGTAATGCTGCTGTAACATTGTTGTAATGTTGCTGTAACTGCTACTGTCACATTGTTGTAATGTTTCTGTAACTGCTGTTGTAACATTGTTGTAATGTTGCTGTAACTGCTACTGTAACATTGTTGTAATGTTGCTGTAACTGCAGCTGTAACTGCTGCTGTAACAGTGTTGTAATGTTGCTGTAACTGCTGCTGTAACATTGTTGTAATGTTGCTGTAACTGTTGTAATGTTGCTGTAACTGCTGCTGTAACATTGTTGTAATGTTGCTGTAACTGCTACTGTCACATTGTTGTAATGTTTCTGTAACTGCTGTTGTAACATTGTTGTAATGTTGCTGTAACTGCTACTGTAACATTGTTGTAATGTTGCTGTAACTGCTGCTGTAACATTGTTGTAATGTTGCTGTAACTGCAGCTGTAACTGCTGCTGTAACAGTGTTGTAATGTTGCTGTAACTGCTGCTGTAACATTGTTGTAATGTTGCTGTAACATTGTTGTAATGTTGCTGTAACTGCTGCTGTAACATTGTTGTAATGTTGCTGTGACTGCTACTGTAACGTTGTTGTAATGTTGCTGTAACTGTTGCTGTAACATTGTTGTGATGTTGCTGTAACTGCTGCTGTAACATTGTTGTAATGTTGCTGTAACATTGTTGTAATGTTGCTGTAACTGCTGCTGTAACATTGTTGTAATGTTGCTGTGACTGCTACTGTAACGTTGTTGTAATGTTGCTGTAACTGTTGCTGTAACAGTGTTGTAATGTTGCTGTAACTGCTGCTGTAACATTGTTGTAATGTTGCTGTAACATTGTTGTAATGTTGCTGTAACTGCTGCTGTAACATTGTTGTAATGTTGCTGTGACTGCTACTGTAACGTTGTTGTAATGTTGCTGTAACTGTTGCTGTAACATTGTTGTGATGTTGCTGTAACTGCTCTGATAAAGCTGGTGTAACTGCAGATGTAAGTGCCTCTCTGCCTGCTTCACTAGTCCTGTGTCACGAGTTCTGTGAACCTTTCTCTCTGTGTTTTTTTTTGGGGTGAAACGTCATTATATTTGTGCATATTGCATCTATGTGCATCTGTGTGTACTGCACCTTTTGTATTTGTATATTGAATCTGTGTATCTGTATATATTCCATCTGTCCACCTCTATAAGTGTGTATATCTGTCTATATCGCATCTCAGTATGTGTGTCTATCTGTCTATGTTGCATCTCTCTGTGTGTATGTGTCTATCCTGCATCTCTGTATGTGTCTATCCTGCATCTCTGTATGTGTGTATATCTGTCTATATTGCATCTCTGTATGTCTGTATATCTGTCTATATTGCATCTCTGTATGTGTGTATATCTTTTTATATTGCATCTATGTATTTGTGTATATCTGTCTATATTGCATCTGTGTATGTGTGTATATCTGTCTATATTGCATCTGTGTATGTGTATATATCTGTGTATATTCCATCTATGTATGTGTATATATCTGTCTATATTGCATCTGTGTATGTGTATATATCTGTCTATGCTGCATCTGTGTAAGTGTATATCTGTCTATATTGCATCTTTGTATGTGTGTATATATGTCTATATTGCATCTGTGTATGTGTGTATATCTGTCTATATTGCATCTCTGTATGTGTGTATATCTTTTTATATTCCATCTGTGTATGTGTGTATATCTGTCTATATTGCATCTGTGTATGTGTATATCTGTCTATATTGCATCTATGTATGTGTGTATATCTGTCTATATTGCATCTGTGTATGTGTGTATATCTTTTTATATTGCATCTATGTATGTGTGTATATCTGTCTATATTGCATCTGTGTATGTGTATATATCTGTCTATATTGCATCTCTGTATATGTGTATATCTGTCTATATTGCATGTATGTATGTGTGTATATCTGTCTATCCTGTATCTGTGTATGTGTGTATATCTGTCTATATTGCATCTGTGTATGTGTGTATATCTGTCTATACTGCATCTCTGTATGTGTGTATATCTTTTTATATTGCATCTATGTATGTGTATATATCTGTCTATATTGCATCTGTGTATGTGTGTATATCTGTCTATATTGCATCTCTCTGTGTGTATGTGTCTATCCTGCATCTCTGTGTGTATATCCGTCTATATTGCATCTCTGTATGTGTGTATATCTGTCAGTGATTGTCAAAACAATGAAAACAAGAAGACAATCACTGTGCACTTAAAAAATATATTTTTTGTAAAATATGTATACAATCTTTGATTACCTTCTGACTTCGTGTAAAACATTGGTCCTACTTACACTTTTGTGTTATACCAAGGGACAAGTTATTATTGCGTGTACTTCCAACTATGACTAGAACCTGTTGACAACATATTTTACGCAATGGATTATGATGTTTGTGTGTGTGAAACCTTGGCCAACATATCTTTTTGAAGAAACTGTGGACAATTAATTTTCTCCATGTGCTTCTGTTTCAATAGCAGCCTTGCTGACAGATCCCGTAGTTGTGGCAGAACTCATCAAAGAGGAAGAGGTCAAGGTCAAACACCTGGTTGACAAATACAGTGAAAAGATGAAAAAAATCCATGTATGTCCTGCAATGTAGTCTATCTGTTCTGGTCACTGGTATCAATACATGTATGTCCTGCAATGTAGTCTTTCTGTTCTGGTCACTGGCATCAATACCAGTATGTCCTGCAATGTAGTCTTTCTGTTCTGGTCACTGGTATCAATACATGTATGTCCTGCAATGTAGTATTTCTGTTCTGTCACTGGTATCAATACATGTATGTCATGCAATGTAGTCTATCTGTTCTGGTCACTGGTATCAATACATGTGTGTCCTGCAATGTAGTCTTTCTGTTCTGGTCACTGGTATCAATATATGTATGTCCTGCAATGTAGTCTTTCTGTTCTGGTCACTGGCATCAATACACGTATGTCCTGCAATGTAGTCTTTCTGTTCTGGTCACTGGTATCTATACATGTATGTCCTGCAATGTAGTCTTTCTGTTCTGTCACTGGTATCAATATATGTATGTCCTGCAATGTAGTCTCTCTGTTCTGGGCACTGGTACCAATGCTTGTATGTCCTGCAATGTAGTCTTTCTGTTCTGTTCACTGGTATCAATATATGAATGTCCTGCAATGTAGTCTTTCTGTTCTGGGCACTGGTACCAATGCTTGTATGTCCTGCAATGTAGTCTTTCTGTTCTGGTCACTGGTATCAATATATGTATGTCCTGCAATGTAGTCTTTCTGTTCTGGGCACTGGTATCAATACATGGAACTCCTGCGATGTCATCTTTCTGTTCTGGTCACTGGTACTAATACTTCTATGTCCTGCATTGTCGTCTTTCTGTTCTGGTCACTGGTATCAATACATGTATGTCCTGCAATGTAATCTTTCTGTTCTGGTCACTGGTATCAATCCATGTATGTCCTGTAATGTAGACTTTCTGTTCAGGTCACTGGTATCAATACATGTATGTCCTGCAATGTAGTCTTTCTGTTCTGGTCACTGGTACCAATACATGTATGTCCTGCAATGTAGTCTTTCTGTTCTGGTCACTGATATCAATACATGTATGTCCTGCAATGAAGTCTCTCTGTTCTGGTCACTGGTACCAATACGTGTATGTCCTGCAATGTAGTCTTTCTGTTCTGGTCACTGGTACCAGTACACGTATGTCCTGCAATGTAATCTTTCTGTTCTGGGCACTGGTACCGATACATGTATGTCCTGCAATGTAGTCTTTCTGTTGTGGTCACTGGTATCAATATATGTATGTCCTGCAATGTAGTCTTTCTCTTCTGGTCACTGGTACCAATACATGTATATCCTGCAATGTAGTCTTTCTGTTCTGGTCACTGGTACCAATACATGTATGTCCTGCAATGTAGTCTTTCTGTTCTGGTCACTTGATCCAATACATGTATGTCCTACAATGTAGTCTTTCTGTTCTGGTCACTGGTACAAATGCATGTATGTCCTGCAATGTAGTCTTTCTGTTCTGGTCACTTGTTCCAATACATGTATGTCCTACAATGTAGTCTTTCTGTTCTGGTCACTTGTTCCAGTACATGTATGTCCTGCAATGTAGTCTTTCTTTTCTGGTCACAGGTATCAATTCATGTATGTCCTGCAGTGAAGTCTTTCTGTTCTGGTCACTGGTATCAATACATGTATGTCCTGCAATGTAGTCTTTCTCTTCTGGTCACTGGTACCAATACATGTATATCCTGCAATGTAGTCTTTCTGTTCTGGTCACTGGTACCAATACATGTATGTCCTGCAATGTAGTCTTTCTGTTCTGGTCACTTGTTCCAATACATGTATGTCCTACAATGTAGTCTTTCTGTTCTGGTCACTGGTACAAATGCATGTATGTCCTGCAATGTAGTCTCTCTGTTCTGGTCACTTGTTCCAATACATGTATGTCCTACAATGTAGTCTTTCTGTTCTGGTCACTTGTTCCAGTACATGTATGTCCTGCAATGTAGTCTTTCTTTTCTGGTCACAGGTATCAATTCATGTATGTCCTGCAGTGAAGTCTTTCTGTTCTGGTCACTGGTATCAATACATGTATGTCCTGCAATGTAGTCTTTCTTTTCTGGTCACAGGTATCAATTCATGTATGTCCTGCAGTGAAGTCTTTCTGTTCTGGTCACTGGTATCAATACATGTTTGTCCTGCAATGTAGTCTTTCTGTTTTAGGCACTGGTACCAATACATGTATGTCCTGCAATGTATTCTCTCTGTTCTGGTCACTGGTATCAATACATGTATGTCCTGGAATGTATTCTCTCTGTTCTGGTCACTGGTACCAATACGTGTATGTCCTGCAATGTATTCTCTCTGTTCTGATCACTGGTATCAATACATGTATGTTCTGCAATGTAGTTTTTCTGTTCTGGTCACTGGTATCAATATATGGATGTGTTTGCTTTGACCGAAGGTAACTTAACCGGTGTTCATGTGGATGTCGCTGTCCTACCACAAAGTTGAACCAAGATGTCATCAATGAGCAACTAACGTTTAACATACTGTTTTCTCAGTACAATTCAGATTCCATATGCTTTCACACATGACATCAAGAGATCGGTATGTCATACCTGTCTCGGACCAGGTGTGATGCTTGGTGAATTATGATGTGGTTGTTTCTCCCTCACAGGTGGGCGGCAAGGTGAAGCAGATGACAGGCAAGGTTGGGGAGGCGATCATCGAGGCTGCCAAGGGAGAGAATGCTGCAATGATTGTTGTCGGAACTCGGGGCATGGGCAAGATGAGGAGGACATTTCTGGGCAGCGTCAGTGACTATTGTCTACATCACTCCCCAGTCCCGGTGCTTGTGTGCCGACATAAACCAGTGAATGAACACAAGAAATAGGTCAACAATACCTTACATGGACAAGTATACAAGTTCTTGTGTTTCCCAACTGAATGCAGAATAACTATATGAGGAGATTCAATCCAAAAACTGGTCACAGACACTACTTAGGACCGGGTGATATTTGAAGCAAGAAATAGGCACTTGACCGTACCCATTAGTTGTGTGATATAAATAGGTGATGTATAAAATGAGTTCTATGTTGAATCAGCAATATTTCAGCCATATCTCGACAAGACAAAGTCTGCTTTCATACACATTTTAAGTACAATGTTTAAATCATTCTTTTTCAAAACATATTTATTCATTACATTATTATCTACAAACAGAAAAAGTTGTAGCACCAAATTTAAAAGCAAACAGTCTGTCCTCACATTACATCATTCATGATACAGACCAATCTCTTTATCCGTGAGACGGTGGGGTAGCCTAGTGGTTAATGTGTTCACTCATCACACTTAAGACCTGGGTTCAATTCGCCACATGTGAACAATGTGTGAAGCCCATTCCTGGTGTCCCTGCCGTTATATTACTGGAATATTGCTAAATGCAAAGTGAAACTAAACTTTATCACTCACTCACTCCTCCTTTCTGAGAAGACATTAACACCTACAGATGGTCTTTGATCTGTGTGATGTAGACACATGTTTGTCATACCTACAGATGGTCTGTGGTCTGTGTGATGTAGACACATGTTTGTCACACCTACATATGGTCTATGTGATGTAGACACATGTTTGTCACACCTACAGATGGTCTGTGATCTGTGTGATGTAGACACGTTTGTCACACCTACAGATGGTCTGTGATCTGTTAGATGTAGACTTTCATTTGTATCGCGGAGTCCCTTTTACAGACCAGAATCCTATGAGTGCAGGTTTGAGCCCAAGATTAGCACATTGTCAGCTCCATGCTGTGGTTTAAGACGTACCTTACTTACCAAATGGTTTCATTTATTTATAATATTTTTTGTCTTTCTAATACATGACGACAACATAGCCTTTTTGTGTTTCTGTAGAGGTAGCCCTTCATTTTCTCAAGAATATATGGTTTTGTCTAGACAGTGGAAATGACCTTTGTTAATGTTCTTATTTTATATTTTGTTTAGAACTAGATTACAACATATTTTGTCTGGCAGCATGAGCTATACTGCTCTGAATCTAAACCACAATTAGGACAATATTTTGTGTCTACTGGTTGTCAAATACCAAGATGTCTCTCTGGCATGGCCTGTATATTCTGTTTACATGTACTTCATACAAACATCACTCTGCTCAGTAGAAGGCATTGCTGGTGTTGCCAAGGAATCCTTTTATGTGTGCAAACTATTGTTTCCACTGCGAATCTCATGTACTTAATTATACAACAAAATTGAAATATCAAAAATTAAATAGTTGGGTAAAGTTCTTTCTTGTTGACTGTTTTTGTTTTGTTGATATTTACTTTGTTATTTAGCTCTTGCCTCACCCACCCGTTTGCATTAAGAATAATATATTTTGGCTAAAAAAATGATGCATATCTCACTTATCCTTACGTCATAGATTGGTGGAGATCGAATCAACCGTTTACTTGCAGGAAAATCTCCGTTAACTGTTAAATTAAACATTTTATCAACATCTTACTTCTATACAAAGATACAAGACACATCCATTTGTACATATTATACATTTATAACAGCTGTACAGAACCATTCAAAACAGAATTATGAGAGACGCAAAAGAGTTAAAACAACTTTAAACATATCACAATTATTTCAACGTTGTAGAAGTAAAAGGCAGATTTTGGCTGTATCAAAACACATAATAGGATCACTGAAAATATAACACATTTTATCGACATGAGATTTATCTAAAAGCTCTGGACAGAAAGTAGTGCAATGGTTAAAAGAGTGCCTTACTGAGATCACCATATAGCACACAGTGAAACATAACATGTAATTCATCTTCTACATCATTAATACAATTAAAACATTTTCTGTTTCTAATACAATATTTTCATAGCGGCCAGTTTCCACTCTAATGGGAGTAACACCATATCGACACTTCGACGAAGCCGATCTATACTGTCTAGGCATATGATGGACAATTTAATTTTTTGTATTAAAATTTCACTTCAACTGCTTATAGAGTATAATTTTATTGAAACCAGTTCTACCTAGCTTCCTATCTATTTACCAATAAGTTCCACGAAGTAACAAACTTATGCATAACATTCTCCTCAATAAGTGTACATGGAACAGATTTGTTATTGTTAACAGGTGCATCTAAAAAGTAATGTAAATCAAAGGAAAGTTAACTTCTTCGTTAATCTAAAATTCCAGTTCTTAACACCTGTTACCCACACCATACTGGCCATACAAGCACCATTTTACCTATTTTCCATATTATAAAGATGGCACCACTGCGTAGAAAGACATAACCCCTGTCTTACAATATCTGCACGTTAGAGGCGTACTTAACAGGTCCTATAAAAAACATTGTCCTGTGATGCACTGCATTTACCGTCGATACATCGTAAGCGCCCCAGATAGCCGCACCATTGCTTAAACACAGACCAGACCATGCTGTCATGTAGATTTGAATATGGACTAAAACACATATTACCAACACTTTTAAACTTAGATATTAGGCCTAAAGACCTATATGAACGTTAGTGCACGCAAAGGGAACCAGCTTAGGAGACATCCTTGTTTTAGTCCACGATTCACTGCAAACCAGGAGGTTTTGATATGATAGATGGCGCTGCTCTGCTGGCGACAGACATCAACAGAGCTTCCATTGTTTTTATATTTACACAAGTCAATAAGTTTTGAGGAACCGTATCTTTGTGCTTAACAACCCTGCAAGTATGGGTGGATTCCACCGGTGTGTGATTTTTGCGATGACGCTAAGTATATTTGTCCGCTGCGTGTCATCGTCATGGAGGCCGTTAGTGGACTCCGTTATGGCGAACCAAGATGGACGTGAAGAGCTGCTGGCGCTGCAGGAACCGCGTTGGAATTGAAAGGACTTATAGACTTGCCCCCGGAAGTGCATCAGACAGGAATATTTCAAATTCAAATTCAGGATCAAAAGTTACCAGAAAACGAGGTAATCGGGGAGGAGTCCGCCGAGGGTCCAGGTGGGGGCAAAACAAGACCACCCCTTCCAACCTTTTTCTTGTCAAACATGAGGTCTCTTAGGAATAAATTGGACGAACTTTCGGCAGCAACTAAATATTTGTATGAATTCAGAGAGAGTTGCATTCTATGTTTCACGGAGACATGGCTATCACCCTCAGTGGACAGTAACACCCTCTATTTGGAAGGATTTGGTACTCCAGTTCCACTAGACAGAGATTTAGATGCTACAAGGAAATCTATTGGAGGAGGTGTATGTATATAAACGAAAAGTGGTGTCGTCGTCAGACAACCAACGCCGGGGACGATAAGGCCTTTGCTGAGGATCTCAACACTTTCTACAGCCGCTTTGATTGTCACGATTTTACCAATGAGAGAGCTCAAGTTAGTGAAGCCGTAAAGGATAGTGAAAGTCGTCTTCATATATCAGAAGCTGACGTCATTCAAAGCTTCTCCAGAATTAACATCAGAAAAGCAAAAGGACCTGACAACCTTGACGGCATTGTGTTGAAGGAGTGCAGACTTCAGCGGTGTGCAGTTTTCATTAGATTGTTTCAATTCTCAGTGAATACACACGGTATTCCATCGGTCTGGAAAACATCAGAAATTGTACCAGTTCCTCAAAAGACACAACCTAAAGAACTCAACGACTACAGGCCAGTTGCTCTCACATCTATAGCAATGAAGTCGCTGGAACGCATTTTGTTGGGATATCTCCAACAGGATGTTGCCGACATACTGGACCCGCTTCAGTTCGCCTACAAGTCAAGGAGAGGAGTTGTTGATGCCACACTGTCACTCCTTAATAATGTCTTTAAACATCTAGAGACAACTAAGTCATACATCAGGATCCTCTTCGTTGACTTTTCATCTGCGTTCAACACCATCCAGCCACATATCATGATACAGAAACTGTTAGACAGGGGCGGTAACTCATACCTCATCCCTGTGGATCCAACACTTCCTTGTAGACAGACAGTAGTACGTGAAAGTTAACGGGGCTGTATCGAGTAAACGGACCACCAACACTGGTGCACCACAAGGCTGTATAATATCTCCTGTTCTTTTCACCCCCTACACTTATGATTGTGCAAGCTCGAATTCAACCTGTTCAACTGTAAATTTCACAGATGATACAGCAATTGTCGGCAAACTGAACGACACTGATTCTGAAGATCTGTAGAAAGAGGACATTAATCATTTCACGACTTGGTGTACAGAAAACCACTTACTCTTAAATGTCACAAAAACAAAGAAACTGATAATTGACTTTCGGAGTAAGCCCACAGAAATGCCTCCAGTGATAATCAGCGGTGAATGTGTTGAGACAGTGTCTGAGTATAAGTAGCTGGGAACCTTCATTGACTCTAACACTGAAGCCCTATACAAAAAGTGTCAACAACGTCTTCATCTCATGCTGAAACTGAGATCTTTCAATGTTAACCCATTTGTGATATCATTTTGTTATGCAGCATTTATTCAGAGTATTTTAACATTTTCCTTCCATTGTTGGTACGGGTCTCTCTCAGTTCATCTCAAATCAAATATAGACAAAACTGTTAACACTGCAAGTAAAATCGCTGGAGTCGGATTTGAATGTTTATCATCAATATATAAGAGGCAAATCGTGAATCAAGCTGTCAAAATTATATCTGACCGTACTCACGACTTAAATTCGGAATACAAACTCCTCCCTTCAGGCCGGCGCTACAAAGTTTCAATTGTAAACACTAAGAGAGCCCGTACATCCTTTATTCCAAGTACCATATCTCTCTTAAACAAATGTGAAGATACCTAAATCAATGAATTTATGTAAATATGTTTTGAATCTCTCCGATTTGTCAGTAGCTCTGCTGATGTAACACAAATTCCTGAAAAGGCATTAAAGTATTATTCTATTCTATTCTATTCTATTCCATTCAGTCAAACACAACACTGAACGTCTTTGTATAGCGACTGTCGAGCAGTCCACCCTTTATCTCCTACACTACGTGTCGAGATTCTGATCCATAAAATGTTTCTGTCTATACAGTCGCAAGCCTTTCTCAAATCAATAAAAGCAACAAACGTAGATTTTTTCTAAGTTTCCGTGTTTCTAACAACGATGAAAGAGTCTGTACATGGTCTATGGTCGGTCGTATTTTTCTGAACCCATTCTGAGAGTCATGGAGGACATTGTTGGTTTCAGTCCATACTTGTAGTCTCTCGTTCAGGACACAACAATACAACTTGTATATCGAGGTTGTCAGAGTGATGTAATCATTATATATGTTTTAAGAAACCACACTCATTTAAGCTTAGCACTTAAAATGTCAATATATACTGAGTCAAAAAAGAAACTTAACAAAATGTAATTTGAAAAATAATGAACAATTTTTCTCTGATGACTTTCGACTCTAGAAACGTTAGCAAAACCCACTCAAACCCATCCAAACGTCGTGCAAATGACGTAAGTGCCAAATCAGGTTTTGCACGTGCAGTCGATCACGTGATCTTCGCATCGAAGTTTTCTTCAAATGCACGTGTTTGCATTGGCCTCAAGAATTGAAAAAACACTTTTAAACCCCGGTTCTAACGGTACTTGAAATGCCAAGATTTTCAAATGTGCAACGTGAACGTGCCGTTGGCATGTTGCAAGCGGGAAGATCAGTTATTGACGTCGCAAGAGCAATGGGATGCAGCCGTCGTACTGTGTATGACTTGCGAGGTCGTCTACAAGAAACTGGCACCACTTCTGATCGCCCAAGGTCGGGTCGTCCACGTGTGACGTCACGAGCCGAAGACGGTCAAATCGTCCTACGTCACCTACTTGACAGATTTCTGCCGGCTACACGAACCAGGGCTG